GAATGGTTTAGGTTGGAAGGGACTGCAAAGATCATCTAGTTCCAACCCCCCTGCCACGGGCAGGGACACCTCCCACTAGACCAGGTTGGTCAAAGCCCCATCCAACCCGGCCTTGAACACCTCCAGGGATGGGGCCTCCACAACTTCTCTGGGCAGCCTGTTCCAGTGCCTCATCGCCCTCACCATAAATATCTGTCTCAAATATAACAACAGCAAGGTAATGCAGCTAAAAGAGACATTGATGGTCAAATCGCCCCACATGACAAAGTGCGAAATGGACAACAAAATACAAGGCAAATACACATTTTAACGAAGACGCGTGCTGGTGTGCAGCAGACGTAACTGAAGGGCAAACACACAGCACACACTCAGGGAGCGATGAAGTGAAGCTCCTTTTTTTTCTCTCTACACAACAGTGCCACTCGGTGGATGGACAATGGCAGTGAATGGAGATGCCACGCATGGAAAAACCCACGGGGGGGGGTGGTGGTGGTGGCCGTGGAGCCGGCAGGTGAGGCTGAAGGCACAGCCTGGCCGGTGGCGGCAGTACCTGGGATGGCTGGGGGATGCTGCCCAGGGCCCGGCAGCCCCCCATCGCTGCCCACGCCCGCCTCGCCTGCGGACAAACAACAGCGTTAAAAGGTTTCCCCAAGACATGCAATCCACTCCAGTAAAGAGCTGCAACTTCATGTTTGGTTGTTTTTTTTTTTTTGGTGGGAAGACGCTGCTCTGAACACAAACAATACTGTAAAGAGCAGGAGAGAACAAATGGGGAGTTTTAATAAATCATGCCGTATTCAGACATGTGCAAAAGAGCAGTGTTTTTAAGAGGTTGATTTATATCAAATTCTAAACTAAAATAATCCAAACAATTTATTTCTGGTACTTTACACTGACTGTCATTCTGCTAGTTTCGGAACATCACATTCTCACTGTCAATAACATTTCATAATTACCTAAGAACATGTATAGTTATGTGTTACTTTAATTTTTATTCAGTTCTGCTACCAGTAAGGGCAACTTCTTTTTCCTTCTGAAAAAGCATACTCATTTTCTAGACACAGCTCATAAATAATCCTAAATATGGAGATCATTTCTTTAGGGCATATTCAGTGACTGTGGAAATTCTGTCCATGTTACAACAAATACCACAGAAGTATCAACTCATAAAAACGACCAGTAATCTGGAAACTTTTTAAATAGCTGATCACAGTTTTGGCAGAACTTCATCTTCAAACCGGTCCTCTAAAGTGTCCTTGTGATAGAGCGGCATTCAAATCAAAAGCCTTTTGGGTTTCAGCGTGAAAGGACCTAGAAGAGAAACTGTACCTGGCACTATCAGTGAAAAAGTGAAAGAGAAATGCTTTTTTTTCTGGCAACACGCTGTCATTTGGTAATAAAAGAGTATCCAGTTTCTGAATGCTCAAGAATCCAATGGAATGCAAAGGGGAAAAATACTG